AGACAGAAACTCCAGCACCATTATTTTCCATTTCTTATCTAACAGGTTGAATGGAAGAAAAAATTCAGAATTTAGATTGCCTTATGTTGAGCATGCTTCCTTGTTAGGTTTAGGATGATTCCATAACCCTAATGGAAACAGGAGTTTCCATTATGAATGTGTCTGTTTAGGTAATTTAAGCATTCCCTGTTTTAATCTTTCCTTTCCCTTCCCTTCCCTTCCCTTCCCTTCCTTTCCCTTCCCTTTTCAAAATACTAGGCAAATTCAATTTATTTTCATTTTTATTAAGGACTTGCTAAAGCCAGTTTATGACAGTGAGCAGCCATATCCACAATAGTTATGGCAAAAATCTGAGCAACAACAAAAAAAGCCCATAATATCCATCAGGTGGTAAATCTGGTGGCAACTTTACAGCTAAACGTCTGCGGCTTTTACAGCTCCAACCTGGTAAACAGTGGACTTCTTATAGAGAGTACACCAACATTAAACAATAATTCATTATTCTACCTTTAAATTTTATAATAAGTTAGTAGTAATATTATTAATTTAATTCAGCTAGTATTTCATGCACCTTGCCTATATCCAAGATTTAGATTATGTGTAGCCATATTTCTGAATTCTGATATGCAGGAAAGCTAAAAATATGCTATCCTACTTGTTCACATTCTCTAGCTCTATACCAACTGCCAAAATTATTTTTAGCATCCACATCCTGGCACATTTAAGCCCTGCTAGTATTTCTGATCTACATGCTTCAATAATCTTGTACATAAGCTACCAATTTTTCTTAATATTGCTGTAAGAAATGCATGATAGGTCCCTAGAAGTCACTAGATGGAAATCCTATTCTGTTAATAAACACCATCTGCTCCCTTCTTTCCTTCCCCCACCTCCCGTTATCCATAAAGATCTGATCATTCTTGAAATTTTTAACATCGCTCTCAAACCCCTCTCAAAGACATTTCAGCAGAATTGCTGACTTCTATAGCAGCACTCCAGTATAAACATGAAGACCATTTCATTATTTATACAGTGTCTAATAATTCAGTTTTGTAATTCAACTTTAAAAGTTTTATTTTGTACCACTGTTATAAATAATTCACCACTGGGACATTCAGAATTTTCACTATAAAGACAATAAATATATTAAATTCTTCTTTTCCTTGCCATGATCAGTAGGATAGCACAAACATGGCTATCATGTTTACCTTGTATAAAGATTGCCATAAATTCTAGCAGTAAATTTCTTACAGAAGTCAATTATTTTACCAGTGTCAGCTACCTGTTTAATGGCTGTAAAATAACACCATAAGAACAAAAGAAAACACTGTTCAAATCAGGACTAGGTCCACTGAAGCTCCTTGCTGTATGGGCCAAGCTTATATGTTGCTTTCTTTTTCTGCAGCTGTATTTTCTCTCCTGTACTCTCAATGAATAAAGCTGCTAAAGTATTTTAGGACAACAGGAAATGGAAAAGTGTATCAAATTCTTCTATTCTAAAACCAAATAATCTTATCAGAAATAAAATAAAAAGGACACACATACACTGTGACTTGGTCTGAATTATCAAATAGAAGATTAGGTACTGTATATTAATACCCATACATGTTGCAGAGTCTGAAAGCTACTAAAAACAAACAAATGAAACACAACAAAACCAAACAAAACCAGAAACAAACAAAAAACCTCAAACCAAACCAAAACCAAACCAAATCAAAACAAACAAAGAACCCCCAAAAAACCCAACCAAACAAAAAACCACACCAACCAAACAAAAAATGCTGCAATGCTGTGTCACTAGGCAGTGATGAAATCATAAATTACTGCTGGTAATTATTGCAGCTCAAGATTTTTTCTTTAAATTTCTCCTCAATTTTCAATGCATCTCACCATTTTCTGTTGTTACTGTAATTGAATTCTTTTTTTTTTTTGAGTAATCATTTCCAGTTTTTTCTCATGAAATAATTTTCCTCCAGGGGCATTGTGCTAGATAGAGGGGTGTATTTATCAGATGTGTTAGTTTCCAAATAATAACCAAACTGAACATAAAAAAAGTATGTGCATTCTGGTATCAAATATAACTCAAATATGCCACTTGATATTCAGAAAAGAAAGAGGGTAAGAAGGAGAGAAAGAAGGAGAGAAGGATGGATGGACACAGGCTAGATATTGAGGCTTATGATATTGATGTTGTCAGGCCAGAGTGGGTATTTCTGTGGTCTGTTGTGCACTTGGTTTCACTGAATGCAACTGCACTGGCTTACATATGGTGGTTCTGTATTGTATTTCTATTAATTACATAATTTTATATCTTTTCATACACATTTTTATTCTCAGAAGACCAGAAAATTAATATGTTCTTCTATGTTATGATCAAGAAAGTTCACCATTTCCCACAGATTCTGTCAGGTACTCTGGAGTTTCTTGTCAACTTTCAGCTCAACTGCACATTTGTCAAGGAGGATAAAAGGTCAAAGAAATATATGTTTGTGGGCTTCGGGGTTTTATTTTATATTTTAAAAATATTGAACAGCAATGTATCCCATATAACTATCTGCCTACGTTTGCTATTTCCAAGCATTTCAAAGGAAAGTGTTTTAAATTATCTCTGATTATGAAAAGCATATTCCTTCTTTTTCAAATCACAACTGGATCTAATCCCTTCAGATATGCCTCTACTGCACATCCCATCCTCTTGTGCCACTTCTACAGTTCTGCTTTATTGCAATGACAGGTTACTAATCATTTCTATCTTAAATTTCAAATTACAAATCCATAATGAAGCATTTAAGTATGTGGTCTGATGTTTAGGGGTACTAAGTATGCAGATGTTTCATCAGGAAGCCAAGAAGGAGCTACTGGGCAATCAAGACTGAAAATTGGATACTAGGTAGAACCAGATCTCAAAGTGTTGATTGCAGAGATATATATTCACAAAGAGTACAAGAACAGAAATGGAGATTGTCCTGATGTGATTATAGTTTAAATACAGCTATTCTCTCACATCAGGGAAAGGTGTATGACATGAATGTAATGTGATGAGTTTTCATATCTTTGCTACTAGAGTATAAAGACAGGTAGCTTCACAGAAAGCCAGAAAAATAGGTATTGAAAGAAATCTCTCTGGATGAATGAAGTTGCCTTGATGCAGGTCTTAAAACAATAGATATGTCTGTGGGAAGGGAGACTCTGTTGAACTAAAACTCTGAGGTCTAGCCTAATTTCTTTGAATATTCTTAATTTCATGAAATATAACCTTAGATTCAAAAAAAGCTGAGTATCAAGGACATGGTAGCAAGTTTATGTTTTATTCTAAAATACTGATTTCTGTGGTTGAAGGTAAAATTTTCCCACACTTGGCACTGATTTAGGAGCTTGAATTCTATGAATTAGTATGTTATTTTAACCTAGAAAGGAACTATATGAGGAGTCAGTCATATGTGCAAACTGAAGTCTATTAGTGATCTTCCTTTTTAGGTTTAATCATTCTCTATCATAACTGAGATGCATAGTATGTGGTCTGTTAGCATTAGCAGTGTAAATCTTTTGACAGTTTGTAAGAAGAACAGCTGATACCCTACATAGTGAATTCAACATGCATGAGAAGCATATACTATATTTTGCATAGTTAAAAATCTATAGGAATTACATAGTACATTTTAATATAATATTTTTATGATAATGCTGCTGTTGAACAAAGTTACTGAATGCTTGAAAACCTGACAGACTACACAGTGGATACAATCAAGCCAAAACCAGTTACACGTAGCCTGAATTTCTATTCTGTAAACTACCTCTTATGTATGTGCAGACCAGAAAAAAGAGAGTGTATAATCACCTCAGTTATTTTCTATACTAAGTCAAGGGACAACAGAGGCATGAAAATTATTTTGTTTTTCCTTTCATATCTTGACATATAGGTGGGGATTTCTATATTAAGTACCACTCTAATGAATCATGACTGAAGGTAAACTATGTCAGTGGCTGAGGACATTTTACTACAGGGTGATTCCAGACTATATTTCTATGGCAGCCCTTCATTGCATTACCAATTTTTTGACATTTTCCTACCTATCAAAGTGTTACTCAGCTAGCTATGTCCTCAGAGATTAGTTTCTGTTGCAAATGGGACCAAGTGGGAAACAACAATGGCCTCAGAGCTTTTCCAGGCAGTTTACTGACTCTTGGCTTGCGGACAGAGACACTTAATGGAAGTGGAAAGATCAAGTGTCTTTACACCAAATGTCCTTAAAAAAAAAAAGGGTAAACAAACCAACAAAACACAAAACAACAACAGCAAAGAAAAAGAGAAAAACAACAGTTTCTGTTTATATCCTATAAACATGTTAGAATGCATAGTCCCAGAGCCAAGAGATTTCAAAAATGGGTAGATAATATGAACCAACTCTTCAAACACTACTAAAGTGAGCTTGATCAAAACCAAAAACCTTCTTGGAACATACACACAATACTATGAACTTATGAACTTCAGGAATACATGTTGCTGCTCATTTACTTCAGTGTCTGTGTGAAAACTGTAGACAATTGTGAAAACTGCAACAGGGCAGTAGCTTTATGTCAGTTCAAAGAACGGAGTCAGCATTTCTTCTATGAAAATATATGAGAAGGAATCCATCCATAAAACTTGCAGATATAAATTCCACTATCTAGTAACATTCAAGAGTACCTAGTAAATTTTTGGCATTAATTTGAGTAAGCATATGTTAGAAGGACCAGAAATATTATTAATTTTTCAGAATTTAAAGAATTTGACATTATTAAAGTAAAGGTCATAAAATATTTGTGTCTGGATGGGACTCTAGAGGATAGAGTTTTGAATATTTTGGTTTCAGATGTGAGTCTATGCATCTGAATTATTGTATGAAAAGCAAAAATTGTAACTTGGATAAGGTTATAAGTATGTATTTATACACATTTTTGTGGGACATTTAGCTTTGATATATATAGAGTTCAGAGACAAAATCCAGAATATGTCTTACCTTCATAGTAAACTTTAAACCCATGAGCACTAACTGCAAAGTCACTTGTCAAGCGCAGTGAAAATACAGATTTTGTACTTGTCACAGGTGGAGGAAGATGAAATCCTGTTAACCTAAGAAACAAAGAAACAAAACTCATGGTTAATTGTCTGAAAACTAAAACTGTGTATGATGGGTTGGTGTTCCAAACAGTAAATTCAAATTATCCCAGATATTTAATCATGGAAAGAGCAACTGGCTTAAAAGCATATAGTTTAAATTACTTGAAAAAATGTTTTTTATATGATAGTTTAAGGAATTAATATAAAATTTGACCATCTTTCAGAGACACTGAACCAGGTAAGGTACATCAGTTTGAGAAAACTATATTGAGTAGAGATGATAGTAAGATATAGAAGCTGGACTTTAAAAATGGTCCAGATTATCAGTAGATGAAAAAAAATCCAAAACACAAAACCAAACAAATCACAGACCACCAGACAACTTACACTCTTTAGGGTTGTGTTCAAACATGTATTGCACTATATATCTTGCACAGGCTTCTGTTAAAATTTGTAGTGGCTTAATTTTCCACAGTAATATGATGAAAAAAAGGGGATCATGATTCACTTTAATGAGGGACTTTAATATTACTTAAACTATGCATTTACGTCTCAGAGAAGATATTTCTGATTTCAACTCTAAGAGGAAATCCAAGGAGCATCACTGTGAAATCATACATCCATATAGAAAGCTGTCCTGCAAGGACTTGTAGGGTTGTTAGGGTTTGTGGTTTTGTTGTTGTTTGTATGTTTGGTTTTGTTTTGTTCTATTAAAACCACTATGTTTGAGATACAAATGAAAGGAAAGGTTTTGTGCACTCAGCCCTGCTGAAAAGTTCTGCTGATACTCACTTCTACACGTTCTTTTAATTTGATGTACATATGATAACACTTAACTTTCTCTGTTCTAGAATAGCCTCATCAGAGTTCATACCAGACCAACAAACCCCATAGTATTTACCTGTCAAAAATATATAAAGAGCAAGTTGAATAATTTAGCTGGTGTATTTACCACTGAAATCTAGACATACCTTTGGAGTCCAGTTAGGCATATATGACAAACTGTGTAGCAGATTAGGATGATTTATTTTGCTAATGATTGACATCAAAATTATTTTTATGTGTTTGTGGCTGAATCCTTATTTTGCTTTTTACTTTAAATTTAGAAATATGGAAAAATTTAGGTCTGAAGGGACCTGTGGAGATGAGATAGCCCTTTCAAAGTGGGCTTAAAGTCAGTTAGTCCAGGTTTTTCCAGATTTACACTTTCCCTTTTCATACTTAAAATAAATTCACTTGGGGGGTGGGGGAGAGTTTGGGGTTTTTTGGGTATTTCTGCTTTGCTTGGTTTGATTGTTGTTGGTTTTTTTAAAATACAGTTTTATATATATATAGGTACACTGGCAGATCTTGTGGACACTTAAGATGTAAACTAAGACTTTTACTGGAATAAAAGTTATATATTTTTAAGTTTGCTTGATACAAGTACCACAAACACCAATGGTGTTTACTGATGCTTTAATACATTTGCTGCTGCGTATACTGAAATTCAGCCCTAGTCTTGTTCTGAAACTACAAATCAAGTTATATCCTGCCATCATCAGTATTTCTAGCCTCATCAAAGGAAGGACATATAGGGATGAGAAGCCCAGAATTCAAAAGGTCAGGAAATGATTTGATAAAAAATTATTGTAATTGCAATATCAGTGTTTATTTAATGTTTAATTTATTTTTAGTTTTAAGATACCTTTAGATTAGTTCTATATAGTGTACCAGTAATTTCTGATGAGATTTACTTGCTGTGGGGATCAGAAGAAGTTTGACATTTTTTTCTGATGAGTATCTACTTGGTGTCCTTAACAGGTACTTTAATTTAACAGGTTTTCTATAGCTGTTTTTTATTAAGCAATCTTTGGGAAACAAACCAAACCAAACCCACCACATACAATAACCAATATATGCCATTGGTTACCGTAATGATAGGTACAAAAGACAAATGACAAGATAATTAATATTCACAGCACATAACCAGAGAATTGAAAAACATGATTAGAAGAAGTGATGTCCCCTAAAGAGGTATATATGCATATATTTATATATAGCAAGTCATCAGTGTGTGTATCTAGAAATCACTTTGTTTTGTCACTGGCATCTTTATGAACAATGTCACTTAAACAAGACTAGGTTAAAGAATTTATATTGATATGAAAATAGGGAGAATTATTCACAGAATATTTAGGATTTAGGAAATGCATTTTTTAATTTGACTGTGAGAATATAATTTTGTTCTAACAGGAAAACAATAAAATGCTTAGGTCTCCCAAACAGACACATGTATAATTCTTTGACAAGTCAATATCAGTGCCATTTTCCCAATATCTTGGTCATTAACCAATAAATGCATTAATTCATTCATAAGTATCAACACTTGAAAATAAACTAACCTGATGTAAAACCAAATCAATGATTTTAATAAAACTTTAACTTGTATCGCACAGCAGGTCCAGCTGGTATCTATTTAGCTACTCAATGATGTGGAAAAATTGTGGGTATAAACACATATCCAGCAGAAAAGAAATACATAGTTCTCCCTAAGTATTTAATTTGGGATGTTAGGCACAGCTTAAATGGGTAGGGGATTTTTAAAATGAACACATATTTTACTAACACAGCAAACATTACAGATCCTCATGATAAACAGATCATTTTAAGAGCCATTTGATACCATTTAGTTTTCAGGGGTGGGCCTTTAATAACCACCATTATGCTGTATTTATTCAGAAAGGATCAGCTTGTTTCTTTAATTTGGTTGCTACACTTAAATTGACATAAAGAAAGGCAGAGATTTTATTTTTGGTTTAGTGGATGAAAAATGACTAAAAATTTTTTAAAAGTAAAAATTCAACATGCAAGTGTCATTTAGTAAAATACTACAGATTTTCAGAAAGGGCTGTTTTGGAATTCACTCAGACAATTGAAGCAACCTAATACTTGAGTATTATTCGTCAGATACTACAGGACATTGACCTCAGAGCTTAAGTCTTGTTTGTACGTAAAACACTACAAACCATCATAAATGTTAGCTAGAATACTTATCATTGCCATTTAAAGTGAAAACATAGCAGGCACATCATAACTGCAGGAGAGAGATGTCATGGAAACAGCAATATGCCTGTAAGAGAATATATGTGCATAGGTCTGTCACTTATTCAGACCAGTCACAACTAAATATATAACTGTGTACCCTGGTATAAAAGCAAAACTTTAGATGGAACATTTATGCAAAGCAGGCAGACATCTCCATAAGCTCGTACCATCTGCATATTAAATATGTTTAAAATTTAAATTTCCTGTAGTAGCTGAAGTTTTTAACATCCAGCAATTTTCTATCTTACATTCCATTTGCATATTTCATTCCATTTGCATCACTTTTTTTTTCAAATTTAAAATACCTAATGGAGTTATTCAGGTACCTCTCTACTGCTGTTTTAGACCCTGTTTGAAACATCATCACGGAGTTGATAGATATGAGACTGCACCAACATGAGATCCATGCTTTTCTGGAGAGATGGAGGCTAGGCAGGATCCCTTAGGGATTCTAGATGTGCCTGCATCTTATGTCAGGCTCTTCAATCACTCCTTTGTAGTCTACTGCTATGGCAGAAGAAATTTATACTATGACAGATGGGCTTTTTTTTTTTTTTCTTTGAGGGATATTCATTCACCTGATCCTTATCTTCTGTCTTTTTGATTTCAGAATTGGCTCATTTGGTGTACCGTGTAGCCAAAAACCATAGGAACCAAAAAGACAATGTCTACAGAAATCTGAGAAGAAGATACACTTCTTTCTGTCTCAACTCTTAAAAAAAAATGAATTTGAATGATGGCATTCTACCTGAGTATTTGATTGAGATGCTGAAGTCCAGCTACAGTGTTATCAAACACACAAGAGTGATACAAATTTGTAAATGAATGTACTGCATATTAATGAATATGTTTGCTTTGTTCTTCCTGGTGTCTTACAAGCTTGTCAGGCCCCTAATGCAGACTGGAAATGGACACAATATGTGTGTAGTCCAAGACTACAGAGAGTTCTGGGAGTGCAGGAAAAGGTTGAGGGGATATTTTTATTTATCTGGCTCTTCTACAGCAAAAATATCAGATGTTCATCCTGAAAAACTCATTGTTTACAGAAATTCTGAAATTCCAGGAGTAAATACAGTGAAATTAAAGATGGTGTATCATTTGGAGACATAAGATGTATCCAGAATTTAGATATTACTTACATGCGAAATTGTGACACCTTGTAAAGTAGTTTCACTAGCATGAATCTGGCAGTGTTTTTGCAGTCATTTTATAGTATAAGAATGGAGAACAGAAATACTCATTAGCCAGAGAAAAGAGTATAATATATGTGATTGAATTACTCCAAGAAGAACCAAGACTGAGGAAAATAAAATCTCTATCATTACTATCATACTCTTTGGCAAAGAATTAATCCTGCTGGGTTTTTGCCACAACTACTCCATGGTGCCATCTTTATCCTCCTGAGGAAAACCAAAGCTGTTAAGTATCCAGAGGGATATCAGAAGCATGAGAACAGCACCAGAGAAAAAAGGTAGCTTCTTGGAAGATTTTGTACAATTTTTAACTGTATTATCAATGGGATTCTAAAAATTAATTGCCTTGAGTCAGAGTGTTGGTAACATTGAAAGTAGATTAGTAATAATAACTGTTATATTCACCACTATATTTTTATTTGTTTAGACTTCTTTACTTCTCTCTCTCTCTCTCCTTTTTTAACCACTTATAACATCAGTTTAAAATGACAAATTATCTTAGGTCTGTGGTTTCCAAGCTTTTAAGGGTTCTGCCTGGAAATTTCTGAAGTTTGATCAATCATTTGTTTTCTGCTTTTACTGTGATCCTTAGGATAATCCTTTAATCATATATCAAGTGAACTGTAAGCTTCATGCTGGACTTTAGACTTGTCAGCCCCAAAGAAAAGATCATTTCCCAGCAGCAGGATTAAAACAGAGCAATCTTTCCATAACTGCAAAGTTAAAATTATG